GAGTAACCGCTAACGAGTGATCGACTAGCGCTGTCGATGCACGAAATTGCAAAGCCGCTACGGAGAGGGATCGAAGCGATACAAAGCCAGTGAACATGGATCCACGTAATGTCACTATCCTGGATTATAATAACACAATAGAAAACGCCACGATAAATGTTACCGGCGAGCACCAGAATTCCCTAACTTTACCCGGTACTGTCGGACCTTTTTTATGCAACATTCGTCTTCTTGGTTTCGTTAACAGTTTTTGTGTTAAACACTCTCATAATCGTCGTGTACGTCAGCCTCGACTCTCAAAACACTAAAAAACTACTTCATCGTTAGTTTGGCGTGCGCTGATGTAATATCGGCGATGTGATTGGACGGATTTTATTATCGAATTTTTAACCATGTCGTTTATAAGTTTTAACCATGTAGTTTATAAGTTTTTAACCATGTAGTTTATAAGTTTTTAACCATGTAGTTTATAAGTTTTTAACCATGTAGTTTATAAGTTTTTAACCATGTTGTTTATAAGGGAGACAGCATCATGATGATTTTAATTATCTACGCATCAGTTGGAACACCACCGCTGACTTGCGACACTGAACCGCTATATATAGCTATCGCCCATCCGTTTCGTTACAACCAGCTGATGACTCCTAATGAGCGAAACACACGGTGATATCCGTCTGGCTGTATACAAGTGGTTACTCCAATGTAGGCATGGTTAAGGTGCTCACAGATTGGCAGCCATGCTGTGCCTATGTATGTGTGTTGTTGATTCGCTAACGAGCAATGAGCAAAACTGGTATATAGTTGCTAACTATATGGTTGTATTTTCCTTCATCACATACGCGTACGCCGTTATAGGTCGGATCATGATTGACCACAGCCGACGTGTTGCCGCAGCAACAGATCAAGCTCATCTTCAACAACTGTCCAGCCTTGCTGGGACGTTCAAAGTAGCCAAACTCGTCCTGACTGACGTTGGCGTGTCTTTCTTGCTGCTTAGTCCCCACCTTCTATTATGGTTCTTTCGGAGCCTTTACGGAATACACAGCCGAAGCTGCTCGCTATTTTGCGCCTAATGCGCAAAGAAACCATTTTCGCGAACCTGCTCCTGAATCCTATCATGTACTTCATGAAGTATAGGACGAGTTCAAAGTGGCAATTACTCCGCAGGTACTGGGCATGCTCAAACTCTGAGCATAGGCGCACAAGCAACTTTCGACTCATATTTACCCCGAGCGTTGGGGCGTGTGGGGTGTGTATCATAAACCACTGGCGGATGGTAGCATACGGTCTAATATGAGTTCCCGCAAGCACACTATCTGAGAAAAATACGAGCATTTCAATGAAATTATAAATATACATGCAGTAGTGAGAACAAATCTGTCGCGGGTAGGCTACTAGCCAAGGCTTATTATTTATAAAGTGACATGTTGTGATAGACATTTATTACTGAATCGCTTAAATTTTTTATTGATATACAATTCCATCCCACAGGTACTGGGCATGCGCAAACTCTGAGCATAGACGCACAAGCAACTTTCGACTCATATTTACCCCGAGCGCTGAGGCGTGTAGGAATTGCGAAAGCGGGTTGCAACAAAGCACATCGTCATTTCGTATAAACTAGTTGTTATCGCCAGCTGGGTTTCTGATGCTACTCGTAAAGGTGTTCATCACATGAAATATATATTTTAATGTGTCTTGCTATCAATAGTGTCGTTGCATACATGAGAGAAAACACATTATATATGTTTCCTCACGCAGGGTTTCTTCTTGTCTGAAAACAGTGAATACTTTCAAAACGATATTGCGAAAACGCAGGCTCGTATAGAGACCAAGTAAACCCGCCGAGTTATAGGTATTAAAACGTCGGAAACCAGCGTGGTCAGATCTTAGAATGCAAGGCTGTGAGATAGCTATCTAGACACAGCAGTCAGCGGCAGAACCCAGGCAGAGTGAACAGACACGAGGAGGAAAAAATATCGTGATAGGTCGGCAAGTGACAACTCTAGCAAACTGCGGAAGAATACACAACCTGTGCAAAGAATGATTGATATAGAGGCTCAACATGCAGCTGTCTAATTACTCCATCCTGGATTATCTCACGACAGTAGAGAACACTACAGTGATATCTAGCAATGAGCAGCAGCAAAAATCTAATACATTTGCGGTAAATGTCGGACGTATATTTTCCTCGTTCGTATTTGTTGTTGCAATAACAGTAGTGATTTTAGATACTCTTATAATCGTCGTATACGTACGGTTCAACTTTCTTAAAACGCAAAAGAACTACTTCATCATTAGTTTGGCGTGCGCTGATATGCTATCAGCGATGGCGATTGGCACACTTATATTATCCGATGAGCTGAACCCGGCTCTTCAGAAGATCCACTGCGTCATGATGGTTTTCGTCGGCTGCATAACATTTTGGGCTTCGGTGTTGTCGATTGGACTTGCGACGTTGGACCGCTACATAGCTATCGTCCATCCGTTTCGTTACAACCAGCTGATGACTCCTAGAGCGGCGAAACTCATGGTGATGTCCGTCTGGCTGTATACAACTGTGGTCGGTTCAGTGGCAGGAGCTCAGGCATTTGAACGTTGGCGCCATGGAGCCTTGTGTCTTATTGATAAGATAACCACTAAAGCGTTCAGCTGGTATGCAGCTTCTAACTACGTGGTCGTGTTACTGTTTATGACGTACGCCTACATCGTTATAGGTCGGATCATGATTGACCACAGCCGACGTGTTGCCGCAGCAACAGATCAAGCTCAGCTTCAACACCTGTCCAGCCTTGCTGGAACGTTTAAAGCAGTCAAACTCATTTTGACTGTCGTTGGCGTGTCTATTCTGCTACTAAGTCCCAACATTTTACACATGTGTCTGGTCAAGTCATTTGAGGACACACACTCGCGGTTGCTCTCTATTCTGCGCCAGATACGCATTTTTGGCATTTTCGTGAACATGCTTCTGAACCCTATCATGTACTTCATGAAGTATGACGAGTTTAAGGTGGCATTAAGGAAGCTTCTCGGCAGGTACAGAGCAAATGTTGAACCAGCAACAAGATTCACTCATCGCACGGCTGGAAATGCGTCTCACACAGATGGACATGTATCGGAGTTAGGGCAGCTGCCACGGCACGGAAGACAGGAGACACAGGTAGAGGTCTAAGCAATATGCGATGATAAACTGAGGACGGGAAGAGGAAGAGAGGGAGCAGAAGCATTAAAAGATGTACATAGAGTAGTCGAAGACATTGCAGATGGAGAAGGACTGGGGACACAGACTGGTGCAGTAGAACAGCCGTCTCATGGAGAAAGACAGCTGGCGATTAAAGAAAGAGAAGTGACAGATGGAGAAGACGAGACGTGTAATGCAGATGGATACTTGACAGACTGATAAGGACAGCCCAATATAGCAGGAAATAGGGAAACAGAGGACGGACAAAAAATGCAAAATAAATACGTGCAGCAGAGTCGAGCCAAACAATTAAGATAGACAGACCAAGTTGTAGAGCATGTATCAAACGCGTGAATGCATGTGTCACTCGTAGTGTATGTTACAGTTAGCTATATGTACGATATGTCAGGTATCGTGTGTAGGAGGCGTGTGGGCTTGTCGATGAATGACAGAGATATATTGTCGCAAGAAAAACAATCCCCTACCTTATTTACCTGACGTATGCGTCGTGTTATCGTCTTACACTATACTTGAGTTATACACTTATTGATGCGAATCATTATGAAACGCTTCTAGAGTCTTTCTGCTGTTGTACCTCGTTATCGTAAAGAGCGTTACACTTTTATATATCTGTTATATATATATATATATATATGTTTTTTATGTTTTTTATTTCTGTTATATTGTATTATTGTGTTGTTATATATAATAAGATCTCATACCACAGTATCATGTAATTCTACGAGTTGCGTTCCTCGTGTGCATACGGCTATAATACTCCGTCATTGAGCGACGACCAGTTGCCAATTCCGTGCCGACCCGTGGACTTGTAATTCGAGCACAGTGAGACCACTTAGCTCACTCTAAGCATTTGCTCACTGTTCTCACTGTTGAGACCAACATATGCTGCCACTGAATGCAGACAGTGAGGTAACGGCTTCTCGCCAAAAGCACGGCACGACGCGTGTACCCGCTAAACTGGCGGCGATGTATTACCAGTATGTGCGTTCGCGAAAAAATGTTGCTAGTTCGCTGCTCTAAATGCGCTACTCCATGTCTATACCCCAGCCTGCAAAACATGTTATACGCCCCACCTCCCAACACCTAATACGATATTGGGGACTTGTACTAGCTTGTTAAATTTGCCCTCGATTACGCCATATTCTACAAAGGTGAATTCAATGCGGCCTCACTCTGAATTGAAGCACCATATACACGCAGTCTCCGTAGCTGCACTCGTCTTCACAGGTGGTTATCCACCTATCGTACCTCATTGAAAATTCTTTATATGTAAGGTATTGAGAAAACATTGAGTGTGTTTATTACCNTATTAAAACGTCGAAAACCAGCGTGGTCAGATCTCAGAATGCAAGGCTGTGAGATAGCTATCTAGACATAGCAGGCATCGGCAGAACCCTGGCAGAGTGAACAGACACGAAGAGGAAAAAATATCGTGGTAGGTCGGCAAGTGACAACTCTAGCAAACTGCGGAGGAACACACAACCTGTGCAAAGAACGATTAATATAGAGGCTCAACATGCAACTGTCTAATTACTCCATCCTGGATTATCTCACGACAGTAGAGAACACTACAGTGATATCCAGCAATGAGCAGCAGCAAGAATCTAATACATTTGAGGTAAAATACGGAAGTATATTTGCTTCGTTTGTATTTGTTGTTGCAATAACAGTAGTGATTTTAGATACTCTTATAATCGTCGTATACGTACGGTTCAACTTTCTTAGAACGCAAAAGAACTACTTCATCATTAGTTTGGCGTGCGCTGATATTTCATTTATTCTGCTATATATATCAGCCATGGCGATTGGCACAGTTATATTATCCGATGAGCTCAACCCAGGTCCTCAGAAGATCCACTGCGTCATGATGGTTTTCGTCAGCTGCGTAACATTTAGCGCTTCGGTGCTGTCGATTGGACTTGCGACGTTGGACCGCTACATAGCTATCGTCCATCCGTTTCGCTACAACCAGCTGATGACTCCTAGAGCAGCGAAACTCATGGTGATGTCCGTCTGGCTGTATACAACTGTGGTCGGTTCAGTGGCAGGAGCTCAGGCATTTACACGTTGGCGCCATGGAGACTTGTGTCTTATTGATAAGATAACCACTAAGGCGTTCAGCTGGTACGTAGCTTCCAACTACGTGGTCGTGTTACTGTTCATGACGTACGCCTACATCGTTATAGGTCGGGTCATGGTTGACCACAGCCGACGTGTTGCCGCAGCAACAAATCAAGCGCAGCTTCAACACCTGTCCAGCCTTGCTGGAACGTTTAAAGCAGCCAAACTCATTTTGACTGTCGTTGGCGTGTCTTTTCTGCTACTAGGTCCCAAAATTTTATACATGTGTCTGGTCAAGTCATTTGAGGACACACACTCGCGGTTGCTCTCTACTCTGAACCAGCTACGCCTTTTTGGCATTCTTGCGAACTTGCTTCTGAACCCTATCATGTACTTCATGAAGTATGACGAGTTTAAGGAAGCATTAAGGAAGCTTCTCGGTAGGTACAGAGCAAATGTTGAACCAGCAACAAGATTCACTCAGCGCACGGCTGGAAATGCGTCTCACACAGATGGACATGTATCGGAGTTAGGGCAGCTGCCACGGCACGGAAGACAGGAGACACAGGTAGAGGTCCAAGCAATATGCGATGATAAACTGAGGACGGGAAGAAGAAGAGAGGTGGCAGAAGCATTAGAAGATGTATACGTCAGGTAAATACGGTAGGGGATTTTTCTTGCGACAATATATCTCTGTCATTCATCGACAAGCCCACACGCCTCCTACACACGATACCTGACATATCGTACATATAGCTAACATACACTACGCGTGACACATGCATTAACGCGTTTGATAGATGCTCTACAACTTTGTCTGTCTACCTTAATTGTTTGGCTCGACTCTGCTGCACGTATTTATTTTGCATTTTTGTCCGTCCTCTGTTTCCCTATTTCTTGCTATATTGGGCTGTCCTTATCAGTCTGTCAAGTATCCATCTGCATTACACGTCTCGTCTTCTCCATCTGTTACCTCTCTCTCTTTAGTCGCCAGCTGTCTTTCTCCGTGAGAAAGCTGTTCTACTGCACGTTTCTCCAGTCCTTCTCCATCTGCAATGTCTTCGACTACTCTATGCGCGTCGTGTTTATCGTCTTACACTTATACTTGGAGTTATACACTTATTGATGGAATCATTATTATGAAACGGCTTCTATGCGTCTTTCTGCTGTTGGACCTCGTTATCGTAAAGAGCGTTACACTTGCTGTTATATTGTATTATTGTGTTGTTATAATGATATCAGATGTCCACACAGTAGCATGGTAATCATAGAGCTCATTGCTGTTCCTGTGTGTATACGGCTATAATACTCCGGTCATTGAGCGCGACAGTCGCAATCGTGCCGACGTGGACATTGTATTCGAAGCAAGTGAGACCACGTAGCTCACTCTAAGCATTTGCTCACTGTTGCTCACTGTTGAGACAAGCATTTGCTGCCACTTATGCAGACAGTGAGGTAGGGTTGATCGCCAACCACGGCTGCACGCGTGTACCCGCTAAACTGCGCGATGTATTACCGTATGTGCTGTCGCGAAAAAAATTGTTGCTGTTCGGCTGCTCTAAATTTTTTATTACCTATCACACTTATGTGCCATTATTATCGCCTGTCAATGATGTTATTCGCGCCTCTAATCTGGAGACACTAAAAGGTAGATGTGTTCTTGTGGGACTTGTACTACTTGTCGAATTTGCCTCGATGTGCGCATATTCTACAAGGTGTTTTCAAGCGACCTCACTCCTGAATTAGAGCACAATGCAGCTACGTCTCCCTGCATCGTTCTCCACTAGTGTAATCCACTATCGTACCTATTCGTAAAAATGCATTATATGTAATTGGTATTAAAAAAACATTGAGTTGTGTTTATTACGCACAGTGTCGTGACTGAGCGGCATACGCCATGTTATTCATGTCTTCTCATCATTTCTGTTAAGCCTGTCATACTGTAGTATTTCTAGCACTGTTCAGTTCTTGTTGTGCGCGGTATTTAAGCTGTTCAGCTTGGCTGCGGTTCGGCTCGTTTACATTATGTTTTAGTCATGTGACTCGCGGGTTTCCTTGTCGCGGTATAAAAGCGTCTGTTGTGCGCTCGCGCATTTCTTTCACAATGCACCATACATTGTGTGTATAAGTGTTGTCTCTTGGTTCTCGCTTAATTTCTTATAATTTGAATCTTTGTTATATAACGTTGGATATAGTAAACATTACATGAGATGAGCGACGTAATATTTAGTGTGCATTATTTTGTATTTACAGTTTTACCTGCACGTGTGCAGCTACGCACGTGTTGAGTAATAAATTTGGAGATATCAAAAAGATGCCGAGTTGAGTATTGGTTATCACACACGGAACGATGTCATTATTGATCATTTGTTATTATTAACCCCTGCTACTATATTATATATTGTTACGAAAACGCTTGCTACAAATTGTGTTAATTTGGTTATTTTATCTCGTTATCGTCCTTATAGTGTAAACCGCTGTAAAATTCGCATGTCTAATAAACACGTACATAAAATATAATAATGCGTGCAAGTCACTATGTGTAAAATGGAATATAAAGGAGCGGCGCCAGATGCTGTGGAGCAGATGCCTGACACGGAAGGACATGAGACAAATTCAGTAAAATATTTGCCTGATGAAGATTGATGGGTGGCAGCTAACGAAAGAGCGGTGACAGAGGTGGAAGACTAGATGTGTAACGTAGATGCAGGCTTGACAAAGATAGAGAAGCCAGCTACAACTTCATAGCTTTAAAAAATTATGCAGACTTTATTTACTGAATTACGAACTTTAAAAAATGTAATCGCTTAGACGACAGTGTAGTTTCCATCAAGGCAATTGCGTTACGCTGCTAGAAAATCGGTTGCACGATCTGCATCATGACTAGGTTAAGCGACAATACAAACACCGTGAAAACCTACAACGAGAATGAACGTCAAAACCTGAACTAATATTATAACAGATTACGAAAGATTGTGCGTCAACAGTGTCTCTAACGTATTACTTGTTGATTGAAACCTTCTAAATGTAATTTTCTGTTTCTGGCCTAATGGTGTCTTTTGTTAGATGCAATTCCCGTGTTTCGCGCAAACCGCCACAAAAATAACTTCGTCCTTTCATAAACCGCATCTTACAATGTTGCTAGCTGTTAATTCATCGCACACGCCTTTGCTATCACGCAATGACGTGTGATTCAATGTATCACCCACGTGACTTTTTCGAGCAACACTACCTCGTAGGAAAGATTTAGTCAGTGGAGTAAAACAGAGTGACAGGGCAAGTGACTGTGCAGTAGCGAAGCGGCACGTTGGTGATTACAACACCAGCTAAAGACAACGCTCACAGAATACAGAGGCAAGACAACGAAGGGAAGCGAATTACAATGGTAGATGAAGTGACGATGGTAGTAGACTGAGATTCATAGTAGCAAGCACGGCGAGACTGAAGAACAAAGCAAAGTTAAACCGAATATGAAAGCACAAAATATATTATTGTGGGAAACAGAGAGAGAGAGAGAGAGAGAGAGAGAGAGAGAGAGAGAGAGAGAGAGAGAGAGAGGAGGGAGGGAG